CTCCGCTCCACTCCTCGTCACGAAGCTCACGCGTAACCCACGGTGAGCGCCGTCGACATAATTTGAGAGAATAATAAAAGAAAGAGTAAATAAAAGAAATGAAGAAAATAACAATTGTGGTCTGGGTGATCCGACTCCTCGCTGGGGTAAAAATACTAATTTTTCCCCCATGATCCACGGTGAGTTCAGGCGAAGAATAATACATGATTTTTATCATATTACAGTGTATATGTATGTATGTGACAAAGTTTTTCGGCAATTTTTTTCTCAAATAAAGGTATTGCTAAGGCCTATCTATCGCCGTCAATTAAAATTCAATTCATTTATTAATTTTTTTAATTTTCACATTTTCTCAAAATTCAGTCGTAACACGATAACTAAAAAAAAATGTTTTAAATTTATTGAATGACGGCTTAAAAAACACGTTGGGATGTCCTTCTGACAGAGTTCGAAGATTAAGGCGACAAATTTTTAAGAAATTTAATTTTTTGGAAATCAGAATTCCGGGGATGTGTTTGAATACCATGCTTGAAATGAATTCAATCATAGCTGAAAATGATTGTTTTAATGCCATGAAGTCGAAGTTCAAAGCTAATTACGGTAGCTACATTAATTGATTTGATTTTTAGGATGATTGTTCAAAATATCGAGTTTTTCATGAATTTCCCTGAAAATGAGCTTTCTTCAAATGAGATGTTTCAAATTTGTTCGAGTACGTATAAATAAAATTTTTCTATCAACGTTTTATCGAAGGGCTGAGGGGAGAGATAGAATTAGTGAGGGTCGTTTCAGTTGGGAGGTCGTGGAGGAGGAGAAATAAATCCACTCTGCCCCTCTGTCTTGCCACCTCCCCACCCTCTTTATTATCACTTGTACAATCCTACAAATCCAAATTGGATTCACGGGGTGTCTGTACCCAATAAACAGAATGTTGGTGAAGACGATTCAGATGAGGATCAATTATTTTGAAATGAGAAAGTGGAACAAGCGAAATATTGAGAAATTCAATTCAGTGGGAAATCGACTGGAGAACCCACGAAATTTTTGATTGAATTTATGAATAAACGTGTGCAGAATAATATTCGGGTAGGGGACAGAATTACAATTCTTATGAAGGTATTGAAAAATCGTGCTTTGGATTGCTTCATGTGTAAAGGCTTATTGTCTTATTGTTCCTCAATAAGATTATTGTTCCTCAATAAGAATTCCTTAACTGCTGGCTTCCTCGATTGTTGAGAGTAAAAATTACAAGTGTCAATAAATTCTTGTTGTATCTAATGTAACAACAAGAATAGAAGAGGCGAAACCACCATCTCAGGTTAAGGCTTTCTCACCTGTCAAGAAGGGACGGAAACAATCAAGAGGAGAAACCCTTTCAAACCTAACGATTAAAGTGTTTGAGAGTACTAGAAATGTCTGCGAGCTTCGCGCCCGTATCTTCGGGCCGTGGGTTTCCGTTCAGCTGAGTTTCGTCAATGACATTTTATTGTTTTTAGAAAATACAGGGTGTCCTATTCGAATTAGTATGGGTCAATATATGGCACAATATACTATTATGGTTTTTCTTCTACTCAACTTTAACTATTAGCTATTATCTTCTAAGGAGGACAACTAAGGAGGACAAAAAAAATATCTGGAACAACAGTTGTAGGATTTTAAGGGGGACATTCGATGCATGCATCATTTTGAGCTTGCAAGTTGCGAGCACAATGACCTTTTTTTAAACAGCAACCGCATTGTTTCACTCAATGAAACTTACTCCTTTTGATAAGACGTTTCCAGACACTTCATCACCCAGTCAATTTTCTCTCATGGAAAATGCCATAAAAACGACCTGGTCAAATTGAAGATTCAAACATTTTTGCATGACCGACGATGTACCACGTGGATGTAAAGTTTACTTCGCATCTCTCGCGCTAAAAAACGAAAAGAAAAAAAGTAGCGCGAACATCATCTTACTCAGCCCATAAATTTAGGTTCAAGGTAGTCCTATATCGTCCAAGAGGCGTCCCGTCTCTAGCAAGTCTACACAGTCGAGTTTTTCTTTTTTTTTAAATATTCCGGCCCTTTCTGCCCTCTGATTGGCTAATCGGCCCTATCCAACCCTATGCATGCGGCTGTGGATTCTACACTGCACCGCATTCGCACTCCTATAGAACATAGGAGTAGCATGGGAAACCACAGAAAACCCATGCCGGTACAGGCGGTCACTATATTAGCGACCTCCCGCTCGCCGGAGCCTCCGGTTGAAAAACTCCATTCCATGGGGAATCGAACTCACAACCTTTCGCACACTAGGCTCGCACCTAGCCGCTTCGGCCACCGACGTCGGTACAAAGTCGAGTTCTTCTCGGAATAAACTGCTTCAACTCGACTATTCTTAATTGGGCAATTCTACTACTCTTCAAAATCTATTTCTTTCCAACTTGGACTCACAAGGTAACCGTCCCGAGTGTCCCTCACCGATTTTCATGAGCTCGAAATATGTTATTCCCCATCAAAATCTAAGATATACGTTTTTTTTCTGCGGATACAGACTTTTAGGGGGTGAAACCAACCTCCGAAGTTAACAGGTTTTCAGGACCATTTGACTGTTTCATATATTGGCATTCAAAATTTTAGAACGAAACCAAAAGCATAATAATCTATAAGAAAAACGATGAAAAATGGCGTTTGGTGCATTTGAATAGGGTCAATTCCAAAAAAATTATAGGGGTTCAAATCCAAAAAAATCTTGTGAAAAAAAAAATAACACTCGTATTTCAATAGTATGAATGGCTATCAAATGAGCAAGTAAAAGTAGGAAATACAGGTTTTCGCATTTTTTCGAAAGAATGGGTGTAGGGGGTAAACCACCCTCGAATTTAACTGAACACATTACCAGTTCAATATTGGATTTTTGTTTGAAAGAAGACAATTCCCAATGTGTGTGGTGGAGAATCTCGTCGGTCTTGTTTAGAAAGACTGAATGACAAAATAACTATTAGAGTTGAAATATACAAATGTTTTGCAACAAATACTTCCTCATGATTCAGGTGAGAATTGTAAGAAGAACTGGACTAGCCTCTGCGGATTACTGTTTTTTTTGGAGGAGGAATGAATACAGTGCAGCCCAGTACAGCCCTTCTTCTAAATTCCTAAAAAGGATAGAGGGATGTTGAAGAATATTCTTTCAGAATATCACTTTTATTTATAATTTTACATACCTAGGAATATAATGATCTGACAATTCCATTATCATTTCTTTTTTTCTATTCTTCTTTCACTCCACCCCCACTACGTCATCACTATTCATACGTTTCCTTATTTTTCCTATCATAAGGCGCTAAGAAAATCATATTTTGAGGTCTCCTTATAATTTTCCTCATTTATTTATTCATTATATTTTTTGCAATAATGATACTCGTCGAAGAAGTGCTTGAAACATAATGACTTCTTGCACCAAGAACAATGAATAATAGCAATATTCGTACATCCCGGTATTTCGCAATGCGACTTACAAGATTCACCGAATGCGAAATGGACGGGATTTTCAAATTCATCTGGTTTGGTTTCTACGTAACCGCTTCTGTACCAAGCATATTCGAAAAGATTGACATATCGTGGTGACGATAATTGATTATGAGTTAGAGATTGCAACTTGATGACATTATTCTTTAAAAATGTAAATTCAAATCATAATCCATTAATATAACACTATCAGAGAAATGTATTATAAAGTTTTACCAAACTCTAAATCCAAAAACATCGAGTGGTTGGAGTTTTCCAGTTGTCCCTTTAGGTATAGTCATTACCTCCACATCCTTATTGCGTATTTTGGTAGCTTCCACGATTGGAGAACAGTGTCCGGTCCATGAATCCACCAATAATAGACTTTTCGCACCAACATTAGAGACAAAAACATATTGCAACCAAGTTTTGAAATGTTCTGAAAAAAATTATAGAACAAATGAACGTTATCATTGGAGCGACATCTTCATTACGGATAAATAAGAAACGAAGTATTAGACGAATCAACACAGTCTCATACCTGAAGTCAGTTTCCCAGATTTGGATACATCTACGTATACATTATCCAGACGAAACAGTTTTTCCTCTACTCTGGGACCGAAATGACCGCTTGGTTCTTTCAAAACTAAAAAGAGTGGAGAGAGGAGTTTCCCTTCGGCTGATGTAGTTGGTTGAATAGTATAACTCTGTGTCGTCGACGTTAGGGATTGCACGACACATTGTACTTATCTTTCACCTTCTTCAGCCAAAGTTCTGCCTGAATGCATTTCAAACTGAAATCCGCTTTGCTCAGAATTATATATATTTGATAAACCGTACATTGCAATCCGTTGTTTCACATCCTGAACAAACTGTTCCGATTTTTCCTCTAGAACTTGACGGTCTTCGATTGCTTTCGATGTAACAAATTTATTTATTTTCCTCGAGACAATACGATGTGCTTTTTTACATGCTCGTATCCACTTGTCGGATGCTTCAAACCGAAAATCCTCACTACCTATATCTTTTTGGGCTTGTAATGCCCATCGTCGTAGGTCACAATCGTGTACGATCATTGTTGAAACTCGCCTTTATTTTTTCTCTTTTTTCATCTGTCGCTTTCATGCGTATCGTTCACAACTTGACTAGTAACCGTTTAGCCATAATGGCGACAACAACTTTGTATTTTGTTCAAGATAATAAATCTATAATTTTATATGTTCAAGTTAATTAGTCGTGGTTATTAGTAACCCTCAATATTTATTCCATTCTCATCCTCACACACAACATTTTGGCGACCGTGACAGGACGAGTAATCTTCGGATCGTGTATACGGTGAGGTGGATAACCTCAAGAAGACACGTGCTGCGAAAAGATCAGCGTTCACACATGCCCATGGCGCGTTAACAGCAATGTTACAGCTCGATGGACCTGATCTCAATAATGTAAGAGTACAGTTTGCAGTTCTGAGAGATAAATCCGTTGAACTGTAAGAACTAAATGACGGCATTATGACTGCAATGCAAGATAACGACGCTACCACCGAAGCAGAATTGACCGCTGAGATGGTTGGTTGCGACGACTATCACCTAAGATATCAACAAGTGAAACAACGGGTTTTACAATTGACTGAGCCAGCTCAACGGGCAGCCGCCCCTGCTCTGAACGCTATACAGATGAATCACACAATGATGGACAACAATCAAAGATACAGGTTGCCCAAGAATGAGATTTTCAAGTTCAGTGGTAAGATTAAGGACTGGCAGCCATTCTGGAGTCAATTTAAACCTATTCATGGAGACGAAAACCTAAAAGAAGAAGTTAGGTTCCAATACCTCATCCAAGCGATGGTTCCAGGATCTCGAGCAGCGGAAGTAGTAAAAAGTTCCCCCCCCCCCACAGCGGGGAATTACAAGAAATTCTTCAGATTTTGAGAAGGTTATTCGAGCCATTGTCGATCATGGATCCCATCAGTCATATATACTGGGTCGACTAGCAGAGCAGATGGGCTGCGAAGTAGAAGGAACCAAAATGATGACACATCTTCTCTTTGGTGGTTCACAGACGGCCCCATATGAACACAAACGTTATAGGGTAAGGCTGAGGAGCTTGGACGGGCATTATGCCTGTAATTTTGAAGCCTACCACCAGGAAACCATTTGTCAGGGTATCCAAGCGGTCCAAAGGGTCCTTGGTTGTCTGAGTTACAGCGACAATCCATCACACTCACGGATACGGCCATGGGTTCCCAAACAATCAGCCTATTGATTGGTGCAGATAGAGTTGGAAAATTATACACAGGGCGATTGTGCAATCTCGAGTGTGGGGCCACTGCAATGGAGAAACATCTGGGCTGGACTCTCATCGGTAAGAATAATGAAAAGGCATCAAGTCGTTCAGATCCAGCACTCTTGACACTTTCAATGTTTGCACGAGAAGCAAGTGTCGAACAGCTGTGGCGTTTTGATACCATTGGAATTACTGATCCAATAGAGCAGAAATCCAAAGAAAATCAACAGCAAGAGGTATTGAGTAGGTTTCGTGACACTGTCCACCTTAATTCAGCAGGCAGGTATGAAGTAAAATAACCGTGGAAGGAAAACCACTCAGCATTGCCTAACAATCGAGCTACTGCCGAGAGGAGACTAGCAACCACTCAAAGGAAGTTAGAGGATGATGGACTCCTCTCTGATTATGGAAAAGTGTTTCAGGAGTGGCTGTCAGAGGGAATAATTGAGGAGATGCCTCAAGGGGAGCTGCGTAACAGAGCTCATTACCTACCTCATCGTCATGTGGTCAAGGAAGGGAGTACGACTCGAATTGAGCCTGTCTTCGATGCTTCAGCCAGAGATAAAAGTAGTCCATCGTTGAATCAGTGCTTGGACCCAGGGCCTAATCTGATTGAGTTAATTCCCACACTATTGCGTCGCTTCAGAGAGCATCAGGTGGGTATTATCTCAGATATTCGTAAGGCCTTCCTGCAAATTAGTATTGTGCCTGAAGATCGAGACGTGCTGAGGTTCTTGTGGAGACCCCTTGGTTCCAAAGATATCATAGGTATCAGAGGTATCAACACTGCAGAGTAGTATTTGGAGTGACTAGTAGTCACTTTCTGTTGAGAGCCACCATCGATCTACACCGGGAAGAGGCCATCAAACGTGCGGGTTCTGAAGAAGAGCGTTCTGTCCTCAACCAATTGAAGAATTCTTTCTATGTTGACAACTGCGTAACGAGTGTCAGCTCCAAGGAAAGTGCAGAGAGATTTCAGAACATCGCTACCTCAACCATGGCTGATGGAGGATTTGACCTCAGAGGTTGGAAGTTTTCAGATGATGTGAGTGAACAGAAGAGCTCACCTGTACTTGGTCTGTCGTGGGACAAAGATTTAGATGTCCTACAATTAGCAGATTCACTTCTGATCCACGAACTCCCAACGAAGATTACCAAGAGGACTATCTTGTCCATCACCCAGAAAGTATTCGATCCATTGGGTATGGCAAGTCCAACAGTGCTTCTGCCCAAGCTAATGCTGCAAAGACTGTGGCAGACTGATTTAGATTGGGACACGAACGTGCCAGAGACTATTAAAAGGGACTTTATACCCTGGTGTCAGGGATTACCACTGCTGAAAGAGTTGAAGATTCAACGTTGGGCATTTGGCAAGGCTGATGAGAAACTCTCTTTACACCTTTTTGTCGATGCCAGCCAGGAGGCTTATGCAGCAATGGTATACGCTAGAATAGAGTCACCTGGAGGAGTAAAAATTCGATTCATCGAGGCAAAGTCACGTGTGGCCCCAAAAGAAAGAGGTACCATACCTAGGTTGGAATTGCTGGCCGCCACAGTGGGAGCACGTTTCTTGAATCATGTGACTGCCTCAATCGAGCAACGTCCCATCGAGATACACTGTTTGTCTGATTCAACAACTGTGCTGGCATGGATTCGACGTGATCTCCGGTGGGCCACCTTCGTTTTCAATCGTGTGCAAGACATATGACGTTTGACGGATGCCACGTGGTGGAAAAAGGTCCCAGGAGAGTTGAATCCGGCTGGTTTACCATCGCGAGGATGCAGCGCTCGTCAGCTAGTTGATTGTCAGTGGCTCCTAGGTCCTGAGTGCCTAAAGCTACCTGCTGATCAATGGCCATCTTCATGTCCTGATACAGACGAGACACTGATACACTGTGAATTGAGGAAAACACCCATGAAGCTCAGGAAGTCTAGCGAGCAGGCTGTTGTCTTGAATCAAGTCCTCAGTAACGTGACTCAAGACCAGGAGGGTCAAGTTCCTTGGTATTTAAAAGAGTTCTCTGAGTATTATCGTATCGTGAGACTGGTAGGGTGGATGCAGAGATTCTTACACAACGCTGGACGAGGAAAAGACAGCAGAACACGAGGAGAATTAACTGGCAGAGAAATTCAGCTGGCAGAGCTGACTCTGATGTGGGTGGTTCAACAGGAAAGTTTCTCAGGTATGAAAGACCCTCGCTTGAGTAGTATGATAGTGGTTGAAGACAAACGTGGTCTACTGAGGCTAAAGAGTCCTGTTAAAAATCGAGATGACACCATCGAATTCCGTCATCCGTAAAACTAATTGAATATCAACATGGCAAGTTGCTCCATGCTCCAATAGACACTGTGATTAATGTTTTGAGAGAGAAAGTCTGGATTCTGCAGTGTCGTAAGGCTGTGAGAGCAGTGGTTCAGCGTTGTGTCACGCATAGACGTTACAACGCCCAGAAACTACAACCTCCGCCTATTGGTCTACCTGAGAATCGTGTCCGAGATGCTCGAGTCTTCGAAATCACTGAAATGGATTTCGCTGGACCCCTGTTCTTGAGATGTGGTAGTAAAGCCTGGATATGCTTGTTCACGTGTGCAGTCTATAGGGCCGTGCATTTGGAGCTGGTTTCCTCACTGTCCACGGACATCTTTTTGGAGGCATTTCGACGCTTCATTGCACGACGAGGTAGACCTTCAGTCATTTATGCAGATAACGCTACCAATTTTAGAGGGGCCCGTAACCACTTGAAGAAGATCTACTGGGATAAGGTAGTTAAGGACAGTTCTGTCGATGTGATTGAATGGAGATTCAATCCTCCTGCAGCTCCATGGTGGGGTGGTTGGTGGGAGAGATTGATAAGACTGATGAAAGACCTCCTCAAAAGGACACTTAAAAAGTCCTTGCTCACATTCGAAGAACTAATCACCGTTTTATGTGATGTTGAAGCAATTATCAATTCTCGTCTACTGACGTATCTGGCTGAGCATCCTCACCAATTGATTCCTCTATCCCCAAGTCTGTTTTTACAAGAAGTAAAGGCGATTGGGGTACCTGACGTGGATGCTGTTAGTGCTACTTCAATGAACAAGAGACAACGTTATCTGCAACAAGTACGAGAACACTTGAGACAGCATTTTCGTATTGAATACCTGGGGCAATTACAACGAAGATCCAGCAACAACAATTTCTCTAAAGAGGTCAAGGTGGGAGATATTGTTTTTTGTCGGAACGAGCAACAGAAGAGGCTGGATTGTCCCTTAGCTAAAGTAATACAGCTCTATCCAGGCAGAGACGGGAAGGTCAGGGTTGTAAAGCTCAAAATCGAAACTGGTGAGTTGACTCGACCTTTACAACGACTCTATCCATTAGAGATTTCAACTGCTGAAAGTCCAGAGTTGCTGAAGAGGTCTAAGGACCTAGGAGAAATAAGTTCAGAGCCTCCACTGATGTCAGAAGAGGTAGTGGCAGATCGTGACGCCACCTTGGAGGCGGAGCCTCCTTCTGCCCCTGAACCAAATGGTCAATCGAAATATGGAGTCAGTTCGCAAGGAACTGAGAGAAGTCAGGTGACAACTAGTCATCGAGGACGTCTCATCAAGCTGCCTTCTAGATATCATTAATAAAAATAAAAAAAAAAAGGGAGGAATTGTTCAGTGTAGAGTTGGGTTTATTATGTAAACAACTCTAAATGGGAGGAAATGTTGAAACTCGCCTTTATTTTTTCTCTTTTTTCATCTGTCGCTTTCATGCGTATCGTTCACAACTTGACTAGTAACCGTTTAGCCATAATGGCGACAGCAACTTTGTATTTTGTTCAAGATAATAAATCTATAATTTTATATATTCAAGTTAATTAGTCGTGGTTATTAGTAACCCCCAATATTTATTCCATTTTCATCCTCACACACAACAATCATTCCAGCGTTGACAGCAGATTTGAAATTTTGTAGTGTGTATTTACAAATCCGATCAAATTTATCTTTATAGCCTCCCCCATTATTAATGTTATGTGTCCGGTGTCTCAACTGCCGCATTGAAGTTACTTCTCGAAATTTCTGTTTGACAGATTCTAAGCTTAAATTTTTTTTCCCCAAACCACTTCGCCAATATGCAACAGCTCTAGATTTCTAATCGTAAAATAAATTCTCCTCATTTTTAGTACAGGTATTAGGATCTATCGACGGTTCATGAAGGTTATCCGCGTATTCTTTGTCTTCGACTATCTCCATGTCCCAGTCTTTGTAAGGTTCCTCAAAGTTTAACAAATCGTCCACCATCACTTCGACGCCAGAATACTCATTCATTGCATGTGATAAAACTTCCTCAATGCTATTTTTCAATTGGATTTCTTCATTATTTATAGATGATTCCGGAATATTCATCGCTTGAAATGTTGTCAGCAGTAATTGAATAACGTTCATAGGATTGACTCTCATTCCTGCGTGTAATAATTATCTAAATGTCTCAAAAACACTTTTCCGTCCTCGTTCTAACTATATTTAAATTTTCACGATATACACGACATACCCTATATTTCCATATCTGATGTTTCGAAAGTGTCAAAGTGAATTAACGATGATAATCACAACAAAACACTAGCTGGGCACGAGAGTGTTTTCCTTATGCTTTCTTTTATTAGACTGACTATACTTTTATCGTCAAGACCTGATAGCAGAGAAAAATACGTCTGGATAGAGCATACACCCACCGCGGTTTAATCCCGAAAATGAAATCCATCCATCAGTAAAAAATCCGTGAGCGTGACGCTCGCTTTTTTCTGGTTTTTTCCCAAGATCTCAGTTTTGGTACTGAATAAACCCCATATATTTTGTACTTGTTCGAAAGACCATCGAATTATCTAGAAATTGACACATGTCTCATCCAATTCTGATAATTTTTCATTAAGTAATGGCACTTTTAGTTAGAAACTATATTTTCATGTTTTTACCTAAAACTTACCTTTGGATCGTTTTTTCAAATTTTCAGATTGGAATCAATGAAACAATTGATATATCATCATAAGACGCATCATTCTTTCCGCGAATTGAGATGTGTTACATGCAATTTGTTCAAATTTTGATAGAGTTATCGGTGTTTGTTTCTTTTTCGAACCTTATGTCACACACCAAAATTTTACATTTTCATCCATTATCGAACCTTTGGACTTTGCCAATGTGACTTTATCATACATCAATTTGAAGATTCCAATGAGATCTTCGAAATAAAAAATGACTTCTCTCACTGCATTGACTTTATCATTTGTTAAACGTGATTAAGTGTCGAATTCAGCATGTCACAAATTGAAAATTTCCAATTTTTTCACACTTTCATTCTGAATTATTGCCTTTCGGGTTAACTATGAGCAAAGTCGTTGCATTGTATCTGAGGTGTAGTAGTAAAACTTCAAAATGAGCTGTGAATTATCCAATTCCCGTCATTTTTACCGGAGTTATCCGAGTTTTAACTCAAAATTAATTTTTTCATGGTTTTCCATGAAATTCAAATTCAGATGGATTTTTCAATCTCATCGCTTAAAATCAATGCAAAAATGGATATATCTTTTTGAAGAGCAATATCTGTTCTTCAAATTGTAATGTATTGAATATAACTTGGTTCAATTTTGATAGACTTATGGGAGATTTTTCCTTTTTTGAGCGTCATGTCACACTTTGAAATTCGATATTTTTGACCATTATTAAACACTTGCATTCAATCAATCTAGCTCTATCATGCATCAATTTAAAGATTACAATGAGATCTTCAATATGAAATAAGGCTGTTCTTACTGCATTGATTGGATCAATTGTTAAGTGTTATTAAGTGTGGAATTCAGCATGAGTCGTGTTTTGAATTTATTCAAAAAAAATTAATTTCGTTGGTCATTTTATTCTCACTAAATTCGACTTATTCGTTGCCCACCGAACATTGAGTTGCTGTCGATGTAGCTCAATTTACCGGGCTAGCACGCCACGCGCGGCCTTCAATAGTCAAAATTGCAAACGCAGCGCAACTGCACTGTCGTTTTCGGGCTCTAAATGAACTCTTTCGATATTTCCCCAGTCGCGTCTTGGATGCCAAAACGGCACGTCAAATAGCTCTGGCTCCGTAAGCTCTGCTCGTGAACGTTACCCCGGAATCAGTTTATCAGTCCTGCCCGGCGTACGCGAGTCATCTTAAGTAATTCGGGATAATATCACAAATACGTATACCTTCGTAGTGAAGATCCTGACACGTAGCGGTCGGTGAACTGCGAATTGTTCACTACGTTATCGTGAAAAGAGTGCATGGACACATTATTAGAGAATTTTAAAAATTAAATGAAACCGTGCAAGGACACAATTAACTCAAAATTTAAATCATAGTGCGATAAGTGAAACGAACTTCATTAGAAACTTAAGTGAGACTAATGTGAAAATCAACATATTATTATTCTACACGAAAATCATTTGGAAAATGACTTTGGATTACTTCTACTATTGGTTTGTACAAAATTCGTCCGACAATCTATTTATTTTGGCCTTTTGCGATTATCAAATTTATAAAATCAAAATCTTCAAATCAATAAGCTAACGTTGAACATCAGTCGTATTCTCTCTCTCCTTTGGTCCCCTTCTTTTTTAAAATTTTCAATTAAAATCTCTTCAAACAATAAATATCAGAATTAACTTTCATTCAAATTCCATTTTATTTCAAAACCCTTTGACTTTATCATTATTGTTCTTCAAATTGCAAAACATCAAAGATTCAAATGATAGATGCAGATGCGCCTAGCGCTTAAAAGGTAAGGATCTGCTAAACAAAAATATTATTTTATCCCGATAATAAGAAAATAAAAGATAACGCATTTAACATTCAATTGAATTTGTTATTAAAATTTGCCTGTTATCACACATGTCACAAATTCCACATTTCCCGTATTTTCAGTGTTCCATCCTGAATTATTGTCTTTTCGGATTAACTATGAGTGAAATTGTTATATGGTGTACACTATGGTGTATATTGGTAGAGCTTCGAAATAAGCGGTGATTTATCCAATTCCAATTGTTTTCCGTGAAGTTATACGAGTTTTGAAGGAAAATTAATTTTATCATGTTTTTTCTTGAGAGTCAAATTGAGATAGATTTTTCTATCTCATTACTCAAAATCAATGCAAAAATGGATATAGTTTTTTGAAGAGCAATATGTATTCTTCAAATTGTGATGTATTACTGAATGTACCGTTATACCGAATGTAATTTGGATGATTGTTTGAATAACTTCTTCTTGACTAATTAGCATTTGATTTTCTTCGATGATTTTTTTCTGTTGAATATTGGTGAAGTTATCAACAAATTGAAGTGGTGTTCATAAAATCTTATTGAAGTTGTTGCTGTTAATGCTGGTAAAAGTTTAAAATTGGGATATTTGCCAAGATTGTCACTACAAGATAAAATTACACTCTAAATGAAACAGGCAATTGATCAATTCACATTATACATCAATCATGAAGTGTTCATTTTAGTACTACGATGATTTGTTTTTTAAATACTTCAATTAGACTTATCCAACTCATGGACGGAATTCCCAAACTGAATTAGGAATTACTGAAGTTTCTTTGTGGTTACAAGATTCGCGTGGACAATATTGTATTCACCATTATCAGTATCAATTTTTCTCAGACCAAACAGAGTACGAGGGTAAGTAGAATTCATTCCATTCCGAGTTTTCTCTTTTCCTACAATTTTCGAATATTAACTCATTCGTGAGCCATCATTTCATTTGGACATTACTGAGACTATTGAGAATAAATTGATTGAATGAAAACAGATTACTGAGATTAAATGAGAATATAGGTATATATGAAATTTGAACAACATTAATCATGTCTGGTGAGAATAGAAAAGAAAACAATTTATCTTCAAAGATAACCGACAATTCAAATAACGATAGTCACAGGAGTTCAGTTGAGAAAAATAAGGAAAAGAAGAAACAAGACAATGCGGCTGAACGTCAACGACGATGTAGAGAGAGGAAACGGACTTTGGAGAGCCAAGAACAGATTTTATAACGCGAGACAGCAACTGAAAGACAAAGAGAATATGGAATGCATAAAAAGAATCATGTGATTTCTAATGATGTGCAGCAATTGGTAACAAGCGAGGAAAATACAGAAAACCATATGAAACGTGAAAAAGCTGCTGAAAGGCAACGGAAGAGCCGTAAACGGAAATGTGATACATCTATCGCTTTACAAAATACAAAAATCCAACAACAGAATTTACAACGCGAGAAAGCCGCTGAAAGGCAGAGAGAATGTCAAATGCATAAAAAAAATCAGCTGATTTCGAATGATGTGCCGCAATTGGCAACAAGTCAGGAGAGTTCAAATGACAATACCAAACGTGAAAAAGCTACAGAAAGACAACGAAAGAGTCATAAACAAAAATGTGATACAGCTATCGCTTTACAGAATATAAAGACGAAACAAAATGAAAAACATGCGGAAAGACAGAAAAAATATCGTGAGCGTAATAGAGATAATGGATACTTAATGAAAAAACAACGAATTCATCGTAAGCGAAAAATTTACTGTTTTTATGATGATAATACTGTAATTCACGATGAAACCGCTGAAAATTGT